AGGTTGGCCAATAAGTCCGTGCGGTTTTTATAAGTATAAATATATATTTATACTTAAGTATAATATATATTATACTTAAGTATAATATATAAGTAAATATATATTTATACCTAAGTATATATTTATACTTATAAAAACCGCACGGACTTATTGGCCAACCTAATATATTATCGAGTATTATTTTTCTTCGTTCAACACGTTTACAGACGGTACTTTGGAGGACTGGCGATCCGTGTTTGACGTGAACGTCCTGGGGCTTTGTCTCTGCACGCGGGAGGCTGTACGTATGATGCGCGAAACGGCGGCCGAGGACGCCGTCGTGATTCATATCAACAGTTTGGCCGCCGAGAGAGTGCCCTTCATCCCGGGCTTCAGCGTGTATCCGGCGTCGAAGCGTGCTATCACCGGCCTCGCCATGACGTTGCGACACGAGCTCGCGGGCACGCGTATACGCGTCACGGTAAGATAAGACGTATAAAATAAAACAGCTGTTCTTCAGAAAATCCACCGCATTTAAGAATCTTTAATCTCGCAGAACTTATTAATAAAAAATTGATTACAGCATTAACCAAGTATATAAAAATCTGAAAGTTTAAACGTGTGTCGATCAAACTATAATTAAGAATTATTTTAGATAATATATTTAATAATGACTGAGAAGTGTATATTTAAAGCTGAATATAAGAAGCTTAGAACAAAACACGAGCCGTATTTACTTCCATTTTTATTACACGCAGAACATCAGTCCCGGTTTGGTCGCAACGGAATTCATGGCTTCCTACAGCGTGTTCTCCCCGGAAGCGATGGCGGCGGCGCCGACATTAAATCCAGACGACGTCGCGGCGGCGGCGATTTATGTGTTATCCAATCCTTCTCACGTTCTGGTACGTCGTACATAGATCTCTAGATATTTTCCCTTCTCGTCGTACAAAATAAAATCTAAAAGAATGATATGTATTTTTTTCTCGCAGATACAGGATGTCGTGTTGAGACCTTTGGGCGAATCGTGGTGACCGAGCTTCAGAACGATTATACATGTATATTACACAACCAATACTATATCGAAATGTTAAATGTAGTTAGAGCGATTGTACTTTTGATGAGCTTTTTACGAGGTCAATAAAAACGCAACTTTACTCACGTCTCTTTTTTTCGTATTAGATCGATCGAAAGATCTGTTCGTGTTAGTAAGAGCCATATAAAAATGTAATGCTTTATTATCACTCCGATTTGGCATTATGAAAAATATAAATCTGTACCTTAGAGATAAAGAATCATATTTCCAGTTTTTCAAAATGGAATTAATTTATTCTTTTTAATATGCCGGGAGTTTAAATTATGGATATAATGCAAAGAGTCTTATTACTGGTAGTCCATTATTACTGGTATCCTTAGATATTAATGTCTAGAAAAAGTCGTATTGGAAATTTCCATAAAAATAATAAACTTTAAACCCTGTCTTCTCTATAAATTTACAATAGTGGAGATGCGATTCTTTACCTGTAAGGTATAAAAATATGTATAAAATTTGACAAATCTTACATATTTTTAAATACCATATTGCGATGAAGCGTATAAAAAAAGGGGTAGGTGACATCCTGAATTCCCAGAGCCGTTATTGAGAAATAAGCTTCGTTACTACGTCATTGAGGCGCGTTGCTGGACAACGATGTTGCTGCTACACCCCGTTGACGATGCATCTTCAGTATAGTATTATTACAATTAAGGGCTCCTACGATTTTCGTTTATAGCTAATGGTCCATCCCGAAAGAATCGCTCGCGAAACAATCGACGAGAGAGATGAATAGGCACAGATCGAGACGCGCTCTCGCGCAATACTCGCGGATATTTGCGAACCTGTTCGTCGGACTGCACCAAACTCTGTATACAGATTTGCTGATGGAATAGGTCATCGACCGATTCGCGAGAGATCCTTCACCCTTCTCTGAAACTTCTGACGAGATACTCCTACCGAAAATATCGCGGAACGTCTTATCGTCTTCTTCGGAAATTTTCATGTAGATTTTCGTCAGCATCATCGATCGCGCGCTATTGTTATTACAATGGAGAAGATATTATACCGTTCACAAATTGGATATTAATTAATTGACCCTTAAGCGCGGACGCTAATTTTATTTTCGTGTTCTGTTTTTTGTCTTCGCTGTCTGAATGTATCGAATTATTATTATTATGTTAAATATCAAAAACAATATTTATATAAGAAGATTTAATATTTATACATTAATTCTCGATATATAATTTTATCTTGCGCCAGCAGAGCTCACCGATTAAATAACAAGTATTTTAAATACAAATATGACCTTCTGTATAAAATATAAAATGAAAGTAAAGTTATATTATAATGTTAAGTTAAAAACAACTGGAAAAATAATACAAGACATATATATCATAAATGATACAACTGTGTTCATTGTATAAAATATACGCATTTATTTAATCGCTACTTTAATTAATAATATTTCGTTTTCGTGATAATTAATATTTGCGAACGCTTAACAACAACGATAACGTCTTATCCGCGAGCGAGCACAGCGCTAGATTTTAAATAAAGGGGGGGATCGACACCCTTCTCCGAACAAAACTTACATCCCGAAAACAAGCTGTAATATCGCGAATAATATGCAATACATGCGCGGGAATGCATCATCCGGAGAGCAATGAACTATCTACACGTAGATTATGCGCGACCCGCTAATCGAAGTCCAGATTTTCAGCGTGGTATAAAAGGATGTCAGGGATGCGGACCAGCATGCAGAAGCCTCTCGTGGCAGTGAGCGTTCAATTTCCTCTCGTTTCGAGCTAAAGTGATCTAACGCAAAATCTTCAACATGAATATTCTATCCAACAAAATCGCCCTCGTCACTGGCGCCTGCTCCGACCTCGGTAAGGCAATCATCGAGGAACTGGTGTCGCAGGGACTCAAAGTCGTCGGCCTCTCCAGCGATATAAACAAGCTGAAGGTACGTTTAACGTTATTAAAAGCTAATTCTATTAAAAGTACAATTGAATCGCGTATAAATTATGAACATTTAATAAAAGTGGTATTAATAAATTACTATTTTAAGTTAGTCATCTCTCTCTCTCTCTCTCATGATCTCTGTAGATTCTCGTGGATGAGCTGAAGGGCAAACCCGGCAAGCTCTATCCCCTTCAATGCGACTTGAGCCTTCCGAACGAGATCGAGGGCGCGGCGGAGTGGATAGAGAAGAATCTGGGTAGTGTGGACATCCTGATAAACAATGCCAGCATCAGCCTGAATTGGTCCAGCATCAACGGTGGCATACAGGAGCTTAAGAAGAGTCTTGATATCAATGTGCTCGGCTTATCGTTGATCACCAAGAAGATTCTGCAGTTGTTGAAGAACAAGGGTAGGTATTTCGGGAAAAACTTATCTCTACGTCTGATAATGTCTGTAAAAAAATAATGTTAGGAATCGATAACGGCGCCATCGTTAATATCAACGACATATGCGGTCTGAAATTGTTGCCTCTCGCCTCCGACCGGCCCATTTCCCCGGCATACGCTCTCAGCAAGTCCGCGCTGGCCGCGTTGACCGAGAGTCTTCGTCTGGAATTGGCCCAGAACCAGTCCAACATCAAAGTGATCGTAAGTAACTTCGATTCGCATTGCACTGAATTTATTAAGCAGTTATACATAAAGAATCAATTTTATCGTTTCAACATACACAGAATAAAAAAGTTACAGCTTTTTCAAATTGGGACCTCGTTAACATTCCACTTTGTCAAAGTTTGATCTTTCCCAAATTCTTGCGGGCAAAGTGAAAAATATTTAAAAAGCAGAATATTAAGAAAATTATTAGTTAAAAGTAATAATTTCTTATATAAAAGTGAAAAATATATCGGAGAGACATGGCTGAAAAATTGCTTAGCAAACTACTTTTCTTTCTGTTAACATAATTAATTATCTCATGACAGAGTATCTGCCCGGGCTTGGTGGAGAACGAGATCAACCAGCAGTGGTTGAAGGAAAATTCACGATTGGCCCTGAAACCGAAAGACGTGGTCGACGCTATTCTTTATACGTTGCAGACTCCGGAGAACGTGCTTATTAAGGATCTCATTATTACGCCCATTCGGGAGATCAATTGAGCTAGCACCGGACAAAATCGTTGTCTACGATGAACATTGTAGTATTTAGAGCACGTATCTCGTGGCAAATCAAATAAAGAATTAGCAATTTTTAAATATGGTGTACACGAATTTGTTATATTGATCCTCTTCTTACAACACACTGACTTTATTATCTTTTACCGGTATAATATCATGTACAAGTAACATGTTTTAATGAATAATATCTCAACTGCTTTTTGCGTATCGATAATTTTGACAATTCTTAAACATTTCTACGCAGTTTGGGAATTTTTTTCTGCATCACTTTCTGCACTTATTATCTCTCTCTCTGACTTTTTGTTCTAAATATACTTATTTCATATATCAAATACAAGAAATGCATCTAAAATAAATTTTAAACATTCTTTTTGCGCTATAAATAAATGAATGGCTAATTTTTAGTCATTAATGCGTTAGCTTTACGATGCATAAATCTCTTATTGTAAATAAGTACGAATACAATTATCGTCTAAAGATCTCCATATAGATACGTGCTTAATTTCGTAGCTTTAAACTTCGAAAACGCGCCTATTGTGTGCTAATAAGGCGACCAAACGATCATAATACAATCAAAATTTTAACAAGTATAATACTTACCTGAAAAGGCCATGGTCATGACCTTTATTTACAAGTCCATGAAAGCGTTAATTCGTACCTTAAACGAGTGACATTGCTTTAAAGTAGATCTGTTCGCAAGCGATAATTGAAGGAAAATTGTATAAAACAATATTGTACTTGACGTATTTATTTTCTTAATCGTCCCATTTGCCAGTTTAATAATTCACAAGAATTCTGAGGGGGAGAGTGTTAAGAAAAAGAATTGCAAAGAAGCGACAGAATCCTATTTAATGAAAGTGTGAAGCAATCGATATTATATTTAGTGCCTAGTTGTGAAGTACATCCTAAACTGTACGCCTTGTACAACGAAAATACTTCGGTATGTACAATGCGCGGAATAATAAAATTGTATATATAGCGGATGATAAACTTGTATGTAATATACAACAAAATATGCGCAATAGAGGAACTGCTACTATCAATTTTAACAATCGTGTTTTAAATATTTGTGGATAAATACATACTATGTGAGACCGTTGTAGATTCGACGCTATTCATATTTTTTTATTGCTACACATTGTTCGTATAACAATTAACTGTAGAAGGACAATATATATATATGATAACACAAAAATAACACATAAAATATTAAAAATATACTTATCTGGGATGTTAATTGAACAAAAAAAAAGGCAGAATTGTTATCAACTAGTCATTACTATTGTTGCGAGATCTGTCACGTGAGTTATGCACGACAAATTTCACAACAATGAGAATAAAGCTCAACACAGGAAGGATCGACTATATTAATGCAAATTTTAAGACTTTTATCGAGGCAGGCTTTTGTATTGCGTGTTACTAAGTTGCGTTTGCCTTGTTGGTGACAAAAATGAAAATACGAATATAAGAATATTTTCGAAGAGAGAGCATGCAGAAATAAATATCGATAGTATCTCAGGTATAAACTGTTTGCACAAATACCTTACGGCAAGCCACCATCTCAATCCACTTTTTCATTTCATCGGTGAGAAAAATGACCATCCAATTTATCTTGTCAATTGATCCCGCTAAACACAAGTTCCAAATTCCGTATCCGACCTAGGAGACAAATCCGTGAACCCTATGAAGCGCGAACGATATCATGCTTCCAAATCCACATTCTTCCACATCGCATATCATTCCCTTAATGAATCCGAGTGATCCGCTCGAACACGATCCGATGAATACGCAGCGCAGGCAATTTTTTTTTTTATCCTTATATCCAAAAATATCCGTCCATGCATAACTAACTTTATCCCGTTTTCCGAATCCTGCCAGCGTCCTAATCCAAACATATCCGAAGGATCCTGTCCGTCGTAACGTTCGTACGGAGTTCCTCTAAAATTATGAGGCCGGTTCCCGTCAAGATGACAGACAGGTTGCGTTACTCAAACGTACCATCCTCTTGTTTATGCCAGTTAAATCCTGAAGACTCGCACTGTGGTTTACAATGTAGAAACGCGAGAAAAAGATGCACTTTGACAGTCACGATCGGTCGAGAAAACGGCCATAGTTATCGGGAGACACGTTTTTTTTTGTTATGATTGGACTTTAGATCGCCGATATTATCGAATGTACGATTATTAGGCATGCAACAGTTTTTTTTTCCAAAGAATCACTTCCACCTTTGAAATTAACACTAAATACGAAATGTTTCGTATATGTAAACAGCTAACAAAATTGCGTCTAGTATTGATATCATCCGTTGTATCAAGAAGAAAATAGATATCATGCCGAAAATCCATCCTTAATGAGTAATCCGAAAATTAATCTTCACCAAAGTTCAAGAAACTTTAGAGTTATCAAACCAAATGCTTCCAACAGAATCCAGTTGTAGTTGACAATCCATTACTAGTTTGACTATTCAGACAATAAATGAATTAATAAACGCGCGGAATGCTTTATCTTTCTTTTTTAAAATCAATACGCGGAAAATAATACGCAACTCGAAGCACTTTAATCCTGATAAGCACATTAATGTAATGAGGAAGTTCCACTTTCTCGTTATGTTTCTCTTTTAAAACAGCGACACACAAAAATCTTTAGTCTCAAACTGGGATTCTACTAGTTTTCAAAAAGAAATATTAACGGGCATTCATCGCCCTCCTCGTAATGGACTTGCCAACGTTTCCTGATCCAGCAACTGAGAATCCTTTCTCCTGATCCTGAATTTCCTCTTGAAAGTATCCCGTTTCGCTATTCTCATTTTCATCTATGTCTTTTTAATCCTCTTATAATTTATGCTCTCCATATCTCGCAAATCCTCCAAAACGCAATCCGTCTCATCCCAACGTCAAGCGAATGTGTATTATATCCATCCAAGAAGTAAGATCGTGTTGATTTCAGTTTTTTTTGCGTATAGTGTTACAATCCCAATATACAAAAGAAGAAAAAATACATTAGTTCCTTATGTGATGTAATATAATATTATATATAGTTTATTAATGCAAATGTAATGCCTGTGATGTATAAAGTTATGAAATATAGCACTGTATGTATAATACAGACTGTATGGCAGAAGATTTTGGATACTGCATCTTTGAAAGAGAAACGTGTATAGTGAGAAGTTTAAATCACAGGATTAATTTGCAAAAATAGCATAAAATACACGATCTAATGTTTTCCTTTCAAATGGGTGCCGAGA